AGTAGCTAGGACTCCAGGCCTGCACCACCACAGCTCGCTACTCTAATGCCTTTAATTGGTACACTCTATTCTTGTCAAAATCCTATCCACCTTCAAGGGTCATTTTACAAGTATGTTTCCTCTAGTCATTTTTCTAAAATCCTAGATGAATACGTTCTCTTCTTTCTTTTAACCCCCATTAGCACCTCCTTTATGTTTTATGTCATTTATATTACAACTATTTGTGTAAATTGAGCAAATTTCTTTGTCACTCTGGGCCTCAGTTTCCTCATCTATTAAACAGAGAAAACATTACCTTATTGGGTTGAAAAAAATGAGACGGGATTAAAGGAGATTCAAAGTGCTGAGCAAAGTACATACCGGGTGATCTATAATTGCTCTCTTCATCTCCTGTTACCTTCTCCCTGTGCCCCAAACATCAGATGGAGCCTTTATCTTCACCCATGCTAACTAATTTTACTTTAATGAAAACACCAGAACTCTCAGTCAGATGTAGAAGCAGAAATCCAACCTTTAGAGATTTTATGGCTTTTTAAAAAAATTCCTTGCATTGAGCAGGATTTTCATCATCCAAACATTTGCAAAGCACTTTATTTTTAAGGAGAGTCCACGTCAGTCACTGAATTTGCCTTATTCCATCCTTAGCTAAAAGATAACAGTAACTAAGTACTTAGGTACTCTTCTAAGTACTTTACATATATTAACTCATCTCATCCTCACAACAATCATATAAAATAGGCAATTAGTACCTAATAGATGAGAAAATGGAGTCACCAAGAGATTGTGAGAACTGCTCATGGTCATACTGTTGTAATTCAAATCCAGGCAGTCTGATACCAGAGCCATGCTCTTAATCACTCTGCTATACTGTGTGTTCAAGGATTTTCTTTTTTTTTTTTAATTTTTTTAATTTAAAAATATTTCTTTTTATTTTTAATATGAAGGGGTGGGGGGTTGTGAGGAGGGTATTCAGTTGCCTTGTTTGTTTTTGTCGAGACAGAGTCTCACTCTGTAGCCCTGGGTAGAGTGCAGTGGCATCATTGTATTTAATAGCTCACTGCAACGTCCAACTCCTGGGCTCAAGTGATCCTTCTGCCTCAGCCTCCCGGGTAGCTGAGACTACAGACTATAGGTGTGCCCTGAAACGTCCGGCTGAGTTTTTTTTTCCTTTCTTTTTGGCAGAGACAGAGTCTCACTCTTGCTCAGGCTAGTCTCGAACTCCTGAGCTCAAGCAATACTCCCACCTCCGCCTTGAGAGTGCTAGGATTACAGGCATGAGCCATTGTGCCCGCCCTCGAGGATTTTCAAATATCTGACTTGGTGTCTAACCTAGCAAGAAAAAGCCAAAACTGAAAAAAAAGAGAAGAGCAGAAATAAAACATTAAAGATTTTAAACCTCAAAAGATTTAAGATTAAAACAAAATTTTAAAGGATGATTCTAATATGCCAAGTATTATGTTCAAAGCATCGCTTCTAAAGAAAAATAAGGATCATTTTAAAAGAAAGCCTCTATAAATACCACACTACTCACCACTGAGAAAAGGCAATCAATAACCAATTAAACTGTAAGGCAAATAAATTTATCTTTCACAGACTGCTGCAACATCAGAAAGACTGATCCAGCAAAACACTCAAGGGGGACTGGGAGCTTAGGTAGCTAGATGTCATCTAGGGATACTCAGCAGTGGGGACCACAGCATGAATCAGACCAGATGTTTGGGAAGGATCCTAGAGAAGCACCAAAACCACCATGGACAACACTGGAGATATTTAATTCAAATCAATACATTATGTTGAACAGAGATTAGATTTACATCCAATTATGTGCTGGAATCAATAGAGCTGATTAATTGTTCTGAAAAAGCAATTAACTTCATTCTATCAATTAATTCAGATCTGTTTCTAAAGTTAAAAACCACAACAGAGGCTGGACAAGGTGGCTAATGCCTGTAATCCTAGCACTTTGGGAGGCCGAGGTGAGAGGATCACTTGAGGTCAGGAGTTCGAGACCAGCCTGAGCAAGAGTGAGAACTTGTCTCTATCAAAAATAGAAAAAATTAGCCGGGCCAGCGGTGTGCTCCTGTAGTCCCAGCTACTCAGGAGGCTGAGGCAGGAGGATCACTTGAGCCCAGGAGTTGGAGGTTGCAGTAAGCTAAGATGACACCACTGCACTCTACCCAGGGTGACAGAGCGAGACTCTGCCTCAAAAAACAAGAAAAGACACAACAGATTGGAGATTTTTAAGGTTCTAACTTGAAAACCCCCATAATTCTAGACAGTAGTCTGCAATTTACAGAATTAAGTCAAGGAGGATACATAAGGATAATAACCTTTGTCTTGTTTCTATAATTATTCCAAATAAATTGTGGACCTACTTTGGGGCTCACCCCAAATTGTTCTTTTTATCAGTGAACATTTATGAAGAAGCTAACATGGGGAATCAGACACTGGGTCAAGTTCTAAAGCTATAGAACTGAATATGATCCCTAAGCTATAGGAACTCAATCTAATGTACACAAAAGATCTTTTCAATAAGAAAAGATGTACTGTGGTACATATGAGTACTTAATTGACTTATATGATTTAAACATATACTATACTGAAAGATGTTTCTCTGTAGTTTTTTTATTTTTTGAGACAGGGTCTCACTCTGTTGCCCGGGCTACAGTACAGTGGCATCATCATAGCCTACTGCAGGCTCCAACTCCTGGGCTCAAGTGATCCTCCTGCCTCAGCTTCTCCAGTAGCTGGGACTATAGGCATATGCCACCATGCCTGACTAATTTTTAAAAATTGTTATTTATAGAAACAGCGTTCTGCTATTGCCCAGGTTGGTCTCGAACTCCTGAGCTCAAGTGGTCCTCCCACCTTAGCATCCCAAAGTGCTAGGATTACGGGCACCTAATCTTCTCTGTAGTTTTCTGAAAAGGCATGTTTGTTTTAATCATTGTTGTAATCAGAATAATTTAAAATGTCAAATACTATCACAAGGCTTATAATAATAATAAAAGAAGTAATCCACTGCTGGCTCCACTCTACCTCACTGCGAAGTTCACCTCTTTAAACTGTTTCATGTGATATTAATCTGAGGCATTTTATATCTACATTATTCTTCTACTTTAAAAATTTATCCTACACCTGATCCCTTCCACCAATTCCACCACAAGTCCAAGGCACCTTCATCTTACTTGGTCTTTTAGTCTGTTAACCACTACCCCAACTTCCACTCTTAACACCTTTCGGTTCTCCACAAAATGAGAATGGTCTTCAAAAAATGAAAACCAGATCATACCACTCCATTGTCTAAAATCCTCCACTGGCTTTAACGAACACGGAATAAATTTAAAACTCTCTTCTACATCCTATAAAGCTCCACATAATTTGGCTCCTGTCTATGTCTCTGACCTCATATCCTATACTCTCCTTCTCAGTTACTATGTCCTGTCATATGGGCTTTCCTGCTTGTTTCTGGGACTGTCATACTCATGCATACCTCAGGGTCTTTACACTCACCACTTCTTCCACTTGGAACACTGTTCCCCCAGTATTCTCATGACTGACTGCTTCCCATCATTCAGGTCACTGCTCAAATGTCATTCCCTCAGAGATGGCTTCTTTCACCCATCTACTTAAGATATCACCTCACTCCCAGGCTACTGGCCCAGTTACACTCCACATGATCACCCTAGTTTACTTTTTCAGAGCAGTTGTCACTATATGAAATTATGTTATTTCTTGTTCATGTGGTTAAATTCCATAAAGTTAAGAGCTTTAACTAAGCTACTGTGTGATCTCTTATGTATAGTTGTGTGGTAGCACATGCCAGAAGCTCAAAGAATGTTTCCAAATTTGTTGAGGATCTGAATTACTTTGGAATCCTTATTTTTTTAAAAAAATTTCATAACGCAAAATTTCAAACTCAACAGAGAATTGTTTAACAAACCACCATATAAAATCACTTTCAAATTACCAACTCACAGCCAATCTTACTTCGTTTATACCCCTAGACATTTCATTCTCCCACTGGATTCATTTGAAGCAAATCGCAAATAATTTTTCCTCTGTATATATTCAGGTTGTATCTCTCAAAAATAAAGACCCTTTTATATATAATTGCAATATGGGGAATCTTTAAAAACTTATAAAATTCTGGGCCCCATCTCCATGTGGACTGTAGTATCAGAAACTCTAGGGTGAGGCCTAAGCATATGTATTTTTGAAGTTTTCTTAAGATGTTCTGATTCAGTGAGATTATTAACGTATCTAATAACTGACATCTGAGATAGTTCTAGAAGGCTCAGCGTTGTCAGTTACATAGAAACCATATCAAGTAAAGACACCAATGAAAAACCATTCAGAAAACAAATAGTTTCTAAGTTAAAAGGCCAAAAGAACACTAGAATTTAAAAAGAAAGAAATTGCACATAATGGCGACTACAATAAATAACAATTCATTATATATTTCAAAATTGCTGAGACAGAGTCTCACTCTTTTGCCTGGGCTAGAGTGAGTGCAGTGGCATCAGCCTAGCTCACAGCAACCTCAAACTCCTGGGCTCAAGTGATCCTTCTGCCTCAGCCTCCCGAGTAGCTGGGATTACAGGCATGCGCCACCATGCCCGGCTAATTTTTTCTATATATTTTTAGTTGTCTGGTTAATTTCTTTCTATTTTTAGTAGAGACGGGGTCTCGCTCTTGCTCAGGCTAGTTTCGAACTCCTGAGCTCAAACAATCCACCCGCCTCGGCCTCCCAGAGTGCTAGGATTACAGGCGTGAGCCACCGCGCCCGGCCTGAAAGAGTAGATTTTAAAAGTTTTCACCACAAAAAAGTTAAGTATGTGACTTGATGGATTTGTTAATGAGTCTGATTTAATCATCACACATTGTAAACATGTACTGAAACATCATATTGTATCCCATAAATATACACAATTATTTTTTGTCAGTTAAAAATAAAATTTAAAAAAGTAGAATGAAATATTGAATCAAAGAGACCTTACTTGGATACAGAAAGTGGTTGATTAAATTCTTCTTCCACAGCAGTGTTGCTCTCTTCAAAACTGGGAATATCAACTGCTTTTAATGAAGATGCACTATCTGGAGGACTTGGGACTTCATTATTAATATCAACAGAAAAATTCATGTCCTCACTAGAAATCTTGGTATCATCTTGCTTCAGCTGAGAGTTAGGCTCTTGATCATCACTTGGTGCATTCCAAAACAAACTAGCACCTGGAGGTTAAATGATTTAACAGATACTGAAACAAATACTGAACTAGAAAAATGAAACTCTTGACAAACTTTTGTTAGGCATAGCTGTATTATTTTAACAAAATTATCTAGAACAGTTATCTGATTATATTTCCTTAGAAATGCCACAAAGAAGTAAGTGAAAGGCAGAAGACAGAAAACTCAGGTGGGGCAAAAGGGAAAGGGGACCTTCTGGGCCCTGCCTCTTCAAGAGGAGCAGCTCTGAAATGATCTGCTTCACATATGCAGGTTCTGAATACGATCTGTGAGCCAGAAACAGGTGGGGAATCTGCAGCCTTCTGGATCTTGAGTGCGGCCTTTTGACTGAATCTGAATTTTACAAAACAAATCCTTTTAATAAATATAGTCTCCCCGGGTGGGCGTATATTAGGGATGAATCAAACATAGGCAATATCAGGCAAGTATTTAAAAATCAAATGTTCCCCCATCTTTATGAACCACTTACACATATTTTCAGAGCTATTTGTACATAATATTATTTACTTACTGTTTTTCTTTAAATTAATTCTATTTTTACTAAGCCTCATCATTTGTGAAATCATAGATTTGATGAGCTTGTTATATCTTTTCCAATACTCATAAGAATAAATACATCTACAAAATATAAATATTCATCTGTATACCACCCCTAAATCATCTTTTGTACCATGAGCTATATGCATTCTGCAGTTTGAGAAATACCGCTATATATAATGGTTTAAAGAAATGGTTAAAACCAAGAAGTAAATTCTAGTCAAAATGGTTTCTACTTTGAGAGGGTCTACATGGGTGATTTTATGAAAATAAATTAGTAAAAGCAAGATTTAATTTTGCATTCACTAATTTTTTTAAAAAAGGACAATTTTTAAAAATTACATAGGTACTGCTACTCTTTCTGAATACATGTCAATATAAACCTTCAGGGAGGAGTTAGGTACATTATAGAATAAATGTGCTTCTAAAAGTCATTTAGTCCAAATGACTATCAGTAATTCATTTTTCTTCATATAAGTATTAATACTCGGAATATGAATCTATGAAGTTTTTAAATACTTGAATTCTATATATTATGTTTGAAAAAACTTGTTTTAAATAATTTCAGAATATCAGTAAACATATGAATGACTTCATCCAATTTTCACTTATTTATCCAGCACTCATTATGTTTCAGGCATTGTGTTAGGAAATGAGATACAATGATGAACAAGCCAGTGTTCCAGATCCCAAAACCTTAGTCTAGTGATAACAGATGGTAAGCAACTATAATACAGTTAAATACAAAATTTTACAAGAGGACATAGGAGGACACTGCATTTTTTGGTATGTTTACTTAGCTTACAATACGCACAAGCTCCTTTATCTTACACACTCACACACACATACACTCACACTTTCATGGGAATTATCACTCCTGCAATCCACAAAGGTGGGACTCTACCAGATATGCCCCTATTAAGTGTTTCTTAACTCCTTTACCATTGAACCAGGGATTAAAACCTAATCCAAACTAGGCCATTCAGGTTCTCTGCAATCTGAAACAGGGACTGAGGGATAGTAAAATGGTTTGTATATATTGCTAGAACTGTGCGACACACACTTAGCTTGTATACCACAAGCTCTAGGTCAGCCATTTTTAAAATGTAAAGCAGTGTCCTGGCGTGGTGGCTCACGCCTGTAATCCTAGCACTCTTGGAGGCCATGGCAGTAGGATCACTTGAGGTCAGGAGTTTGAGACCAGCGTGAGCAAGAGCAAGACCCTGTCTCTACTAAAAATAGAAAAAATTAGCCGGGCGTGGTGGCGTGCACCTGTAGTCCCAGCTACTCAGGAGGCTGAGGCAAGAAGGACTGCTTGAGCCCTGGAGTTTGAGGTTGCTGTGAGCTAGGCTGATGCCACAGCACTTTAGCCCAGGCAATAGAGTGAGACTCTGTTCTCAACCTCCTGCCAAAAAACGTAAAGCAGTGAAAGTCAGATTGCAGATAGAATTGAGTAAAATAGCCATCCAGAATAACTGGATAGTCCTAATGGTATTCCAAATTCTAGTTAGTCTTGTCCTGGAGTCCAGCTCTATTCTTGGCCTTGGCTTCCATAAAAGATCCTCATATCCTTCCAGTAAATTCCTCTTCCTTGCTTAAATTAGTTCAAAGTGGCTTACGTTACTTGCAGGCCAAAGAATTTTAACTAATACTGAATAGTACCTGAATTTGACTTATAAATATGTATGTGGTTCTTGCTACCCTCCCTCCTTGCTTCCCCCCGCATAGTTTAGATACTATATAGACTCAGAAAAAGAATATAGAAATTTGTCTTATTTTCCCTCTTAACTTTTTATTCTCCAGAATCAAATCTTCATCTATTACTTCATCTACATCTGTCTATGCCATTAACCTATCAGCACTCCTGTTCTTCTTATATTTGAGTATTTCTAGCCACATTTCTATAAGTAGCTCAATTTCAACAGATACTTACACTGATTTCATCCTCTCTCCTCTGCTTCTCTAACTTGTTTCTCTGTGCTTAATGCTACTACCATTCCCCCCTGTCATCCAGGCTTAAAATCCTAGAGTACCTTTTATTTTTATCTTTAAAACTTAAATTTGGAATAATTGTAGATTTACACAAACATATTAGGGTTCCCTCATACCCCTCATCCAGTTTCCCCTTATGTTAACATCTTACATTACCAATATATTATTTGTCAAAATCAAGAAACCAACATAGTATATTACTATTAACTAAACTCTAGGCTTCATATAAACTTTATAGATTTTTCCACTGATGTCCTTTATCTGTTCCAAGATACCACATTGCATTTAGCTGGAGTAACTTTTCAGTCCTCGATCTTTCCCCAACTGTGACATCCAAATAGTTATCAAATCTTAGCAATACCCTACATGACCCTTTCTCTTCATTCTTATCACCACCAAAACTCTAACTTAAAGCTCTATGTTTTTTCACTGAGCCCATGTTATTTTCTCTACCCATTCTGTTCTCTCATTCTTCAACTTCACCTACTGAAATCCTACATACCCTTCAAGATCAAGACTCAATAACACTGCATAGATGAAACCTTCCCTAATCCCGCTTGTTAGAATTGGGTCCAGCTAGAAAAGTGGCAAAACCAAACAATGTATCATGTTGTATGATTTCATACGTTTTTCAGGTGTAGTTTGTAAAATTACACAAAGACTTAAGTAATACTCTCATCACCTTGGTTTTGGTTCTACTGTACTGTGTGCCAATCTCAATGTAAAAACTGAAAAATCAGATATGAAAAGCACTTTTAAAAATTTTCTTACAAATAAAAAAATGAAATTACCTGTGCTCACAGCAATGCTTACACTTTTTTTCATGTGCAATCCAGGGGAAGACTGTGCTTCCACGGAAACTAACTCCATTTGTTTTGCAGCTTGCACTGTGTCTTCAACAGCGGTTGTCTTACGGGAACAGGGATTCAGAGATTGTGCTTCTAATAAACGCTGAATCTGTATCAATTAAAAACATACTTTAAACCAACAGTAATCAACAAAATTGGCAGCAGAGTTTAATAATGAAATACAAAATGCCCCAGTAATAAAACACTTTTAAGTCTATTTTCTCACATTTCAATTAGATCATACCATAAAACTTATTCATTGTAGAAAGGCATTATCAGTAGTTATGAAGAAGCACTTCTAAGTATTAATATAAACTGAAAAGTGAAACATATAGATGTTTAGATGAGTATTTATAAACTGACACTCACATAGAAAAGTCTGAATAATTAATACTTCAAACTAACATTTTATTCCTGTTACACTTAAAAACCAAAAGTTAGACTGGAGGTATACTCTGACTCCATGTACCAAATACTGAATATTTTACACAAGATTCTTCTTAGAAAGGTTAATCAGAATTGCCCATATTTGGCATGCTGAAACTGGAAATACTAATAACACTTACAGAGTGCTTCTTGTTTGCAAGACACTATGACACACCTTTTATGTATAATTTTTAAAACAACCTGTGAAGAGTGTGCTACTATTATTATTAAGCTTATTTTACAGATAAGAAAACTTGAGGTAACAAAAAGTTAAGGTATTTGTCCACGTCATATAACTAACAAGTAGCAAAGCTGAGGTGTAAACACTAAAAACTTCCCTTCTTCCTTTTTAAATTGAGATTTAATTCACATACCATGAAATCATACAATTCAGTGGTTTTTAATATGTTCCCAAGTTTGCAAATATTATCACTATCTAATTCCAGAACATTTTCATCAACTCCCCCAGAAATCTTTGCACCCATCAGCAGTCATTTCCCATTGCCTTCTCCACAGCCTCTGGCAACCACTAATACACTTTCTGTCTCTATCTATGGATTTGGCTATTCTCAACGTTTCATATAAATAGAATTGTGGCCCTGTACCTATCTTCTCTCACTTAGCATGTTTTCAAGGTTCAACCATGTTGTAGCATTTATTAATACTTTATTGCTTTTGATTGCTGAATTAACATTCCATTATATGGGTATGTCACATTGTATTTATTCATTCACCAGTTGACAGACATTTAGGTTGTTTCTACTTTTAGCTATTATGAAAAATGCTGCTATGATCATTTATATACAGACTTTTGTGTGGACGTATTTTTTCATTTCTCTTGGGCATATACCTAGAAGAGCCTCCCTTTGTAAACACTGTGGTTTTCTATTTTCCCATAAATAACACTATTGTGTTCAATTAATCTACTTAATTTTAGTGGACTAATCTTATTAATATAGGAAAGTAAGTATTATCAATAAATTATTAAGGTCAGTAGAAATATAAACTGCATTAACAATATAAAATAGCACATGTATTTATAGTGGTTTGGAGCAAGGGCTTTGGTATCATGTGGCTGTAAGTTTAAATCCTATTAGGCTATCTTTTGGAAAAGTTATTAACCACTATGAGTTTCATATCATCTAAAACTAAGGTTGTTGTAAGTATTAAAAGATATAAATAAAATGCTTGTAATTTGTTGAGTGCTTATTTTTACAGTCAGGTCCTACACTAAGCAATTTATATATATATTAAATATAATCGAACATAATGTATATTATATATTTGAATTAACCTTCAGATCTACATATAATACCAATCATCTCTCCCATTTTATAGATGAGACAAGTGTGGTTTAGAGAGATCCCATAGGAAACACTCAATAAGACACTTATACACATTCAGGGCCTAAAATTATTCAGTTAGTTTGTTTTAAAGGCTGGGGGTGGTGGCTCACATCTGCAATCCTAGCACTTTGGGAAGTCAAGGCAGGAGAATCACTTTAGCCCAAGACTTTGAGACCAGCTTGAACAACATATCAAGACACTGTTTGTACAAAGAACAGAAAAATTAGCCAGGTGTGGTGGTGTGCGCCTGTAGTCCCAGCTACTTGGGAAGCTGAGGCGGGAGGACTGCTTCAGCCCAGGAGTTTGAGGTTACAGTAAGCTGTGATGATGTCACTGCACTCTAGCCCAAGTAACAGAGTGAGACCCTGACTCAAAAAATATATATATTTTCATCTATTATCTTTATTTAGAGTTTATAATATTTTAATACATTGGTCACTGAAGTTTTATAATGTACTTTAACATTTGAAAGAGCTAGCACTCTTTCAGAACTTTTAAGGATTACTTGGCAAAAGGAGTTCAGTATTATCAAGTTCCTCTCCTCAAGCCCTGTCTTCTCCATTAAAAAAAAAAAGGCATTTAGATTGGAATATTAAAATACATTATAAAGCTATAGTGATTAAACCAAATGGTAACTGGTGCTGGAATAGATAAGCTAATCAATGGAGCAGAATACGGTCCAGAAATAGATACAAACACACGACACTTTCATCATACAATAAAAATACAGGCTAGGCACAGTGGCTGATGCCTGTAATCCTAGCCAAGGTGGGAGGACTGTTTGGGCCCAGGAGTTTGAGAACAGTCTGAGCAACATAGCGAGATCGTATCTCTGCAAAATATAGAAAAATCAGCTGGGTATAGTGGCACGCACCTGTAGTCCCAGTTACTCAGAAGGCTGAGGTGGGAGGATTGCTTGAGCCCAGGAGTTCGAGGTTGCAGTGAGCTATGATCTTGTCACTGCACTCCACCCTGGGCAACAGAGGGAGACCCTGTCTTGATCAATCAATAAAGTAAAAATAAAAACGGATTTCTAATCACTAATAAAAAGATAAAATTTTTTATAATCTTGATGGGGAAAAATCTCTTCTGAAACTAATTTAATACCCAGAAAGGAAATGACTGATAAATTTAATTAGATCTAAACTGGAATATTCTGTACAAAACAAATGGTTAAAATACAAAACACTTAAGATCAACTGTAAGAAATACCACATATATATGACAAAGGACCAATTTTCTTAATATATAACGAGCTCCTAAAAATAATCAAATAATCAATATTACTTATAAAAATACAATGGAAATTAAAACAATTTCTATTTAAAAGAATGATAATAATTTAAGAGTTTGATGTGCCCAATGTTGGAGATGTAGAAAACGGTTTTGGGGTAAAAAAATAGGCATAACCTTTCTGGTGGCCATTCTTACTCATTCAAGTAACAAAATACATATTAAGCAACTATTATGTGTCAAGTACTATTCAAGGTGCTAAGAAAACTGTTGAATGTAAGCCCCCTCTCTGGAGCTTGTTACTATGTTAACAACAGTTAACATTTACTGAGCACTAATTACACAGTATTCTAAGCTCTTTACCTAGTACTCTGAGCTCTTTATCTAGTATTCTAAGCTCTTACCAAGTAACTCATTTGATCCTTAGAATGCCACACAATTTATGTATATCCCTATTTTGTACATTGGAAAACTGAAGTGAGGGAGGTAACTTGTCCAAAATTGCATAACTTATGCTACCCAGAAATTGGATTAGAATCCAAGGAGTCTGATACCAGAGCCCACTTCCTTAACCCCTACACCAAAATGAGACTTGGAATACCAGAGCAGGAACAAGTTTGGGTATCTATGAACATTTAAAGTGTATGTTCCCTTTGCCATCACAATTTTACTTCTAGGAATCTATGGTACAGAGATACTTGCACATACACAGTTAGCTGCAAGTATAAGGATGCTCACTGCTGCATTGTTTGCAACAGTAGAAACTTCAAACTGTTGAAATGGTCAATAGAAAAACAATTAGAAAATTAGGTATTCATCTTATAACAGAAATCTATGCAGAATAAGGCAGTGCAATATGTATTTGTATAGAAAAGTCCAAGATACTTTTTAAAAAAGGTACCGAAAGAAATTTTTTTTAAAAAGTTCACATATGATGAAAATATTATGTGTATTTATCACAGAGGTATTTTCTAAATCATATTTTGTATTCTCCAAGTATAATGACTCAGATAATGTAGACCAGGGCCTGTGGTCTATATCACATTTTAAGTATAAAATCTCAGCCACGCATGGTGGCTCATGCCTGTAATCCCAGCACTCTGGGTAGGCTGAGTTAGTAAGACCATTTGAGCTCAGGAATTTGAAACCAGTCTGAACAAGATCTCCACCAAAAACAGAAAAAGTAGTTGCGTGTGGTGGCATGCACCTATACTCCCAGCTACTTGGGAGGCTGAGGCAAGAGGATCACTCAAGCCCAGGAGTTCAAGGTTGCTGTGAGTTATGATGATGCCACTGCACTCTAGTCCAGATGACACAGCAGGACTTTGTCTCTCCCCTGCCAAAAAAATAAAATAAAATAAAATAAAATAATTTTTTTTAAAGTATACAAATCCCAAGTAACTAAGATTTCTAAATAGCTTAAAGGATTAGTCCTTTTAGCCTCTATTAATTTTCTTTTGAAGACAGGAAATAGAAATGAGTAAGAATTCTTTTCAATGTGAAAATATTAGGGGCAAAAAAATGAAATAAAAATGCAATTATATTGTAAGTTATATGTACAACATAGAAAGAAAGAAATAAAACTTGCTTTCTAGTCCTGGTTCTACTACTAACTAGCAGTGTGGCACTGGGTTAAATTATTCTCTGTCTAGTGCTCATTTTATTAATACTTATCTGTTGAATAAGAGGGACTAGAACTCAGTTTCCAAGATCCCTTCTAGTTCTGTCATTCCACAATTCTATTCTATAAAATGTAATTACTAAAGAGATTTGCCAGTTTTTATGAAACCACATTAATATCAAGAATTTAACAAAACTGAGAAAGCTCCAAGCAAACCTGTGCCTGAAGTAGTCTCAGCTGTCTGTCTTGTTCTGTGAGGAACCGATACGCATCTGGAGACAGTCCCATCATTCCATTATCTGACTCAGTCTTGGGCATGTGCACGCACACTGTGCAAGGCTGTGGGTTGCATGAGTCCATATGTGAAGGCAGTCTTGCCACCGGTGATGGCTCTACATTGCTGTGGGGAGAACAACTGTCCATGCCTCCCTGAGGTCTCAAGGCTATAGGACTACTTGAAGAATAGAATGCATTATGGTATAGAGCTGGACATCCACTTGGATGAAATAATGAATGCTTTTGAAGGGTTTCAGACTGACGGTCTTGAAGAGATCCAACTGTATTTATTCCTTGCCAAGAATTTATTGGACTATACTGAATATGGCTATGATGCTGACAACAACTGCACACGTTTGTGGAATAGTAAGGTGGTGGTGGGGGAGTAGATATCTGAAGTTCCATTGGTCTTCTTGAATCATGGGGTGAAAAAACAAAATTTTGTGAGTGAGACTGTGGGGCAAGAGAAGACTGCCTACAATTAAACGTGGAAGGTCTTATAGGATACTCTTCTTTCTGTACATTTCCAGCAGAAACTGCTTGAAGCTTTTCAAACATACCATGAGACGGCTCATTATGAGAAGATGGTTTAACACTGTTCTTGATATGGGGGTTCCCTTTCTTACATGTAGATGGCTGTCTTACTTTGCAGTGTCTCAAAAGGGCAGTGCCCTGGTTTAACTGACTTGGTATCGCTCTCAAGGAAGGCTCTTCAGCTTCAGTTTCTTGGCTGTGTTCCTCATCATAAAGCTGGGGTTGCAATGGCTTCAAGTGGTCAGAGTGGTTAATCAACAAAGGAGAATTTTCATTATTCACTACTTCCAGTGGATTAGGTGGAGGGTTTGAGTCTATAAAATTGCCATCCAATACAAGCGAAAGTTCAGGAACTGAAGGTTGAATCTTAGAAATCTATAAATGGGAAAGAGGAAAAAAGTATTTTTTAAGAGAAAGTCATATATATGGCTTTATCTTCCTTAGACCAGTATTTCCCAAATTATATCTAATTACATATTGAAAAGTGTTCATTCTATATTTAGACCATCAGCAAATACCTTCTGGGGATCTTATATGTGCTGGGCACTAGGAATACAATTGTGAGTAAAATAAACAAGATCCTTGCCCTCAAAGAGTACAAATAAGCATTTCTCAAACCAGTTTAAAATAATGGAACTCTGTTTATTGGAATACTAACATTGCTTAGAACAAAGAACACAATATGAAAAGCTGTTTTATATGACAGACTTTTTTTTAACCTTCTCTCTGTAAAAAAATTATCACAGGTAGAATGCTTCAACAGATTTAGTAGCAAATGTTTATGTATCTTAAATAACAAAGGATCTTCCAATAAATATTTCTCCATTAAGTGAAGTTATTCATTGTTATTCCTTCTACCGATATCAACAAAAAGAGTTGGAAAAGAGTAAGTAAAAATATTAGGTTATTAAGTACGAAATGTCCAATTTCCTTAAGTACTAAGTTTGATAGTTGACATCTCTGACGTTTCAGTTTGACACTTCTTTTATTTTTATTGTGAAGGTGTATCCTCATTCTTTTAAATGCATAGATTGGCTTGTAATTATCTTTCAAATTTTTTTTTTTAGAGCAATTTTTGTGGAACCATGGATAAGTTAAAAATTTGCGTTATTTTCAAATATGAGTTCTGTTATGGAACTGATGCTGCATAGACGGCTTAAAATATCAACAAAATGTTTGGGAAGGATGTGGCTCATAAACGCACACTACATGGATGGTTTGAGAAGTTCCATTCTGGTGAGTTTAATCTTGAAAATGAGCCATGTGGGTGACCTGAGACCAAGGTGGATAATGATGAGCTGAAAGCTGTAGTGGAAGTGAATCCATCTCAACCTATGTGTGAATTAGCAGCAAGGTTTAACGTTACTATTCCAACAGCATTGGACCATTTGAAACAAATCGGCAAGGTAAAGAAGCTGGATAGATGGGTACCACATGAATTAAATGACTATCAGAAGAGAAATCTTGAAGCTTGCCTTTCTTTGCTGTCACGACATAAAGGTAAACCATTTCTACACTGTACTATTATTTATGCGTGATGAAAAATGGATTCTTTTCGACAATCACAAATGTTCAGCAAAATGGCTGGATAAAGATGAAGTGCCAAAACACGATCCAAAACCAAATACTCATCAAAAAAAGCTAATCGTGTCTGTTTGGTGGTCCAGCATGGGTATTGTCCACTATAGCTTCACGAACACTAGTCAGTCGATTACAGTGGATGTCTACTGCAACCAACTGGATAAAATGATGAGGATGCTTGCGATTAAGCAACTGAGACTGGTCAACAGAGACAGGCCTATCCTCTTGCAAGACAATACTCGACCACATGTCGCACAAACAAAACTGCTCAAATTATAGAGACTGGACTTGGAAACTCTCTTGTCATCCATTGTATTCACCAGACCTTGCACCAACTAACTACCACTTCTTCCAGGCTTTGGATCACTTCTTGCTAGGAAAAATACTCAGTTCTCAAAAAATTGTGGAAAACACCTTTTGTGATTTCATTGCCACTCACTCTCCAGGCTTCTTTGCTGCTGGCATAAACAAGCTACTGTTAAGATGGCAAAACTGTGTCAATAGTTCAAGTGCATAGTTTGATTAATTGTACTGCTTCTTGTTTGAGATATAATAAACTTTTGATTTGAAATCAGATATTTAATGACCTAATACTTGTTGTGGTAAATTTGGTTATAATTTGATATTAATTTTTAAAAATCTTTCCCATTCCTTTTCTTCTAAAATAAAAAATTAGTCCAGTTAAGGTAAACAATTCTAAAATAACTCACTGGTTGGTGGCAATCAAAAAATTATGACAGGGTTTATTAACGATCAACCTCTCAAAGTAGGTAGAATGCTTTCTCAATAGTAATAAAAACCAATGTGAAGCTCTGGTGAGAATGTTGAGTCTATATGGTTGTTAAAAACACCAGATTCTAAAAACAAACTTCCTGGATTAGAATCCCAGCTTTACTACTTACTAGTTACTAGGTAACTTAACCAATTTATGCCTCAGTTTTCTCTGGAAATAATTATATGTACTTTTACATACATATTACATGTGTATACATGTATATTTAATTACATGTAATTATATATACTTATGAGGTATTTATATCTCTCTATATAGATATAACCATATAGATATACATAGCTAGATACATCTTAGAATGATACTTTTTTTTTTTTAAAGAGACAGGGTCTCGTTCTGTCACCCAGGCTAGAGGGCAGTGGGACAATCATAGCTCACTGTAGCCTAGAACTGCTGGCCCCAAGTGATCTTCCCGCCTCAGCCTTCCAAAGTGCTGGGATTGCAGATGTGAGTCACTGAGCCTGGCCAGAATGATATGAAGTTTTAGGTAGTATTATTTAGTGCTTTAATATGATGAGACTTTTATGTCTCTAACCACAAAGATGAATTCATTATAAGATCAGTGATACCTTTTGACTCACTGGATGAGGACTAGGAATTGGTCTTGGGGAAAAATCTTCATCTTCAACGCCAGAATCGTGATCATTTATTGGCATTTTCCCAGGAGATAACTTTTGGGAAGACCTAAAGAACAGAAAAGGAGATAAGAAAATCCTTTAGTAATCTGTGTTCATTCTTGAAATTGAATAAAGTCCTTTAATATGTCACAGTAGTATTTGGATCATTTAATTTAGTATCTGACAACAACAGATTATTTTATTTTTCAGGTGGAAGTTAACTGACCAGGAAAGATGGCCCAGACAGACTCATGCTTATTAAACTATTCCATTTGCCTGATCATGGCAGGTTCAACCTTATATTGTTAATGTCACAATAAATCAATAGTCACTGGGCAGCTTCTGGTTGATCACTCTGATGAATGTAGAAATAAATAAGACATAGCATTTGCTGTCAAAAAAAATTATAATCTGGCAATAGAGATGTGTACTCACTGTATTATACACTGTGTTAAAAAGGAAAACCAAATAAGGAATTATATTTTCCTATGTACTTATATCTGTGGTAGCCCTTATTTAATTAATATTCTTCAAGGATATTTGCTTTAAAAGTTTTGTTTTGTTTTTCATCTGTTTGTTTTTTTTTTACGTAGAGGAGTTGTTTTTATAGTAGTTTATCTGATAGGTCCAGATTTAAAACTACACAGAAGGAAAGAACACAAGGTACTAAACAAAAACAGGATGCTTCTTTCTAAGCAATTTCATTTCTTGACAAATACTTTGTTTTTCCTATATAATAAATCGACTGAAATGAAAACCATATTAGAGTTGTCACTTCATTAAAATTATCATCCAACTTCCTAGTTAATATGAAGGAATACACTTAAAGCATAGACATCTATGGTACATAAAATTTATAAATAGTTTCATCAAAAAATTGG